CAACGGGTTAAAAACCTTGGAAGAAACTACCGAAGTTAGAAAAGAAGAGTTCGGATTCAGTGAGTGCAAAGCCCATTCAAACAGCCTTTACAGCTGCATTGAGAATATTTCTATACTTCTATACTTTATTTCATGCAAAGATATTTCCAATATAAATTTGCAAGAGGCTCTTTGAAGGATATGAACACGGGTTTGCACTTACATTGGGAGAAGCAATCATTAAGGCAACCAAGCTGAACAAAGGAATCTCAAGTAGACAATTCTTTACAACTTCTCTAGCTAAAGCTCTGCATCTCTCTCTGCCTTGTGCTCTTCTTCTTCGTCATCTGACTTGGGCGTTAGAGAATTTTCCACAAAATACAATTATAAGGTCTTTGACCAATTTATATGCTTGCAGATAGCCGGAATCCTAACTGAGAAAATAAAACTTAATCTGAAACTAACTTTTATTTTTACCAAGGTTTTTAAATCATTGTTGACTCAAACGGTCGGACCATTTGTCCTAAAAATCATTTAAGCAATCAAATCTGTTTTACCCTAAAACTATTTATAGGCTAAAAACCATTGACTTGGTCAACAATTCACTGATTCGAGCGATCTAATCATCAATCAGACAATGGTTTTAGCCTTTTTATTATAATTATTATTTTTTAAATCAGAATGAGCCATTCTTTCGAATTAGATGATTGAACCACTGACCTAAAAACAGGTGGCCAACAGTTCCAATTCCAAGTCATTTTTTAAATTGATTTTTACTATTTTTTTGCTTTTTATTTGAACAAGTTGAGTTATTGAGCCGAATGTAAATAGTCAGACGACTCAGACCATTCGACCCATAACCCAAAGAGCAAAACCGTTTGCAATTGGTACGAATTTCACGATATTGGGTGTAACCCAACTGCCTGGCATAAAAGAGAGGATTCATGTCAATTCATAGGTTGTTGTTAACTTAGAAACGTGCAAATATTTAATCCATGGGCTGAATTCATTTGAATACAGCAAGAACTAAGAGGTCCCATAGAGGCCCAAGTCAGATCCCAATACCTTTTTCAGGTCAATTCATGCTAACTCATATTCAGACCGGATTAGTACGAAGGCACCGGATGACATGGTCCGATTCCGATATTACTAATTTACTATCATCTTAAACTGATTATTTCTGACATTCTCTATCCAAACAACTTTCTCCCTAATTTCCACTTGGAAATTTCCCATCTTCTTTGCATTTCTTTCCCTCTCTTTCTCTCCTCCATTAATTGACTCACTATTATATGACCACCAAATTCCACTCCCCAACCCAAATTTCTAATTCCATGTTCTACTTTCTAGCTTAATTCCGTAGACGCCTCTCCATTAAACCTCAGACCACACTTGAGAAACATGCCATTTCTCGACTACCCATCATCAAATCATCCCAAAATTTTCTACCAGCCATTCAATCCTAACCGTCCAAAGATTGATACAACCAGTGACCCATGATCATCAAACTAACAAAATCCCACTAAACAGGGCATCACCTCCCCTAGATAATCATCACTAATGAGGGCGGATTTGGCCCTCCAATAACATTATGACACATGGCACCTCATGACAAATAGGTGCAATTCGACACTTCATAGGCAGCTCGCCACCAAGCAGCTCGACACTTCACAGGCAACTCGCCACCAAGCAGTTCGACACCTCTCAAGCAGCTCGCCACTAGGCAGCTCGTCACCAAACAGCTTGGCACTTCACAAGCAGCACGCCACCAAGCAGCTCGGCACCTCACAGTCAGCTCGCCACCAAGCAGCCCGACACTTCATAGGCAGCTCGCCACCAAGCAGCTCGCCACTAGGTAGCTCACCACCATGCAGCCTGACACCTTACGGGCAGCTCGCTTCCTAGTCGGACCGACCGCTGCGTGGTAATTCCAAGGATCTCACCATCGTACCCCGCGTCTTATGGGATCGTACCTTATAACGGCTATATTAGCTTACCCACTCCCCGATTCAGGCGGAAATGGGCAACCTTACCGGTTGGTGGTGTTATCCCCAACTAACACGGAAACAAATCCCATCACAGCGGAAATTCAGGGACTACTCCACCAAACCCGCGAGGACTCCAGTATATAAAGGCCTCACCCCCCAGGGGTGAGAAAAAAAAAAAGAAAAAAGAGATGGGTAATCTCTTCTCTATAGCTCTCTCATTCTCTAATATCATTTTCAGCTCACAACTAAGTGCTAACTTAGCCATCGGAGTGACTTCACCGGGTAAACACCCCCGGGTTCTCTGATTCAATTCTTGCAGATCAACCAGGTCCGTCGTCTACAAAGATGAGCAGATCATCTCCTGCAGGGAGTAGCTGGGTTGCGCTACACTAGGCAGCTCCACTTCAGCCTCTGAGTCATCAGCCACTTGGGAGCAGACCAAATGACGAGGTACTTAGCCAAAAAATTTATACGTGACCAAAAATTGGAACATCATTTGGCGTCGTCTGTAGGAAACGCTACAAAAAGCTAAGTTCTCATCCTACAAAAAAGCTAAGTCCTCTTCTCCCAGAAAGCTAAGTACTCACTTTTTAGAAACTGAAGCTCTCGCTTTATAGTTTCCATTTTTTATGAACTCATAGACTATGCAGGGAGCTAACAGACTAAGTAGCTCTACCAACTTTACTTTCAATTCAGACAAAACCTCGTCAATCCTCTTCGCGAGGTCCCCTCTACAAAGATGAACTGTTCATGGCTTCCACGGAAATTGGTAGCCAATGGACTGCATGGGCGCCCTTGTTGGTCGAACCTTCCAAGGCTCCCGTGCGAGCTGGCGACTTAAAGTTAGTAGTGTTGCCCCCGTTGGTCGAGCTCCTAGTAGCTTCTTGTAGGAGTGGGTGACCGGCATCACAAGGCTGATGCAACGCAATCATAGCTCTAAGGCGCCCACCCGGCGGCTTAGCACGGCCTGGCGACCTGTGTGTGGCCCAATGGCCTACGGGCGGCCTGGCGCGGGCGCTGACCTGGCGGCCTGGCCCAAGCGCGAGCTGACGAACTGATAAAAGACTTCCTCATCACATAAGACCCAGTCGCCTCTTCGGCATGGTCAAAATCAAGGAGAGTGGACTACGAGTCGCTCCCTGAGCCTAAGGGCTAAAATATCACATAAGACCTAGTCGCTTCTTCGGCATGGGCAAAATCAAGGAGAGTGGACTACGAGTCGCTCCTAGTGCCTAAGGGCTAAAATATCACATAGGACCCAGTCGCCTCTTTGGCATGGGAAAAATCAAGGAGAGTGGACTACAAGTCGCTCCCAGAACCTAAGGGTTAAAGTGCTGAACTGGCAAAGACTTCGGCACCACATAAGACCCAGTCGCCTCTTCGGCATGAATAAAATCCAGGAGTGGACCACGAGTCGCTCGCAGAACCTAAGGGCTAAAGTATCGAACTGGCAAAGACTTCAGCACCACATAAGACCTAGTCGCCTCTTCGGCATGGGCAAAATCCAGGAGTGGACCACGAGTCGCTCCCAGAACCTAAGCGCTTTAGCGCCGAACTAGCAAAGACTTCGGCACCACATAAGACCCAGTTGCCTCTTCGGCATGGGCAAAATCCAGGAGTGGACCACGAGTCGCTCCCAGAACCTAAGGGCTAAAGTGTCGAACTGACAAAGACTTTGGCACCACATAAGACCTAGTCGCCTCTTCGGCATGATCAAAATCAAGGAGAGGGGACTACGAGTCGCTCCCTGAGCCTAAGGGCTAAAATACCACATAAGACACAATCACCTCTTCGGCATGGGCAAAATCCAGGAGTGGACTGCGAGTCGCTCCCAGAGCCTAAGGAATTGAATCAGCGCTTATGAGCTCATCAAATTCCGGGCCAAAAGGAGAAGTCTACTCCCTTCGCCGAGTTACTTTCACCTCGGGAGTGGGGGGCAAGTGATGAGGGCGGATTTGGCCCTCCAGTGACATTACGACACATGGCACCTCATGACAAATAGGTGCAGCCTGGCACTTCACAGGCAGCTCGCCACCAAGTAGCTCGACATGTCACAGGCAGCTCGCCACCAAGCAGTCCGACACTTCACTGGCAGCTTGCCACCAAGCAGCTCGCCACTAGGCAGCTTGCCACCATGCAGCCTGGCACCTTACGGGCAGCTCGCTTCCCAGTCAGATCGACCGCCGCATGGTAATTCCAAGGATCTCACCATCGTACCCCGCGTCTTATGGGATCGTACCTTGTAACGGCTATATTAGCTCACCCACTCCCCGATTCAGGCGAAAATGGGCAACCTTACCAGTTGGTGGTGTTATCCCCAACTAACACGGAAACAGATCCCATCACAGCGGGAATCCAGGAACTACTCCACCAAACCCGCGAGGACTCCAATATATAAAGGCCTCACCCCCAGGGGTGAGAAAAAAAAGAAAGAAAAAAGAGATGGGTAATCTCTGCTCTATAGCTCTCTCATTCTCTAATATCATTTTTAGCTCACAAATAAGTGCCAACTTAGCCATCAGAGTAACCTCGCCGGATAAACACCCCCGGGTTCTCTGATTCAATTCCTATAGATCAACCAAGTCCGTCGTCTATAAAGATGAGCAGAGCATTTCCTACATGAAGCAGCCGGGTTGCGCTACACTAGGCAGCTCTACTTTAGCCTCTGAGTCACCAAAAATTGTAACATCAATCACCGTTCAAAACACAATCAATTAAAAATCCTCCGTACAAAATAAGTACAACCTCACCACCTCATCGTCCAATCCTTCCACCAAACAACTACTTTGATTATATAAGCATTCCACCCTAACATTCTCCCCACAAAAGAATACCAACAAAAAAGTAGCTTTTTTCTACGAACCAAACAGCACTCCTTCCTCGCGAATCCCCTGCCTCGAAGGAACCCAAACAGGACAAACCAAAAGAAAACACTGCCAGTACACTCTTAGCCCACGCCCGAGCTAAAAAAAAACCCCAAATTTATAAAAAAAAAAAAAAATCCCCTGAAAATAAGCCAAAGCGAAGCTTCCTGGAAGCTCAGTAAGCTCGCTCATGGCTTCCCCATTTAACCACCTCCCTATCTCACCTTTTTCCTCTCAAACCCTTTTCTCCTCTCTTCTTCTTCTTCTTCCTCTTCTTCATTCTGTCTTTTATCTCTGCTTCAGTCATGATGAAAATGATGAAACTCAGCCCGAAACATCTGTTTCGGTCCAAGAAGAGTACTAGATCGGTGTCCCGTTCTGGGTCAGACCCACCGTCGTTCGGCTCCGGCACGTCATCATCGTCTGATTCCTTGACGACCCAACTCAAAGAAGGTGGTGCTACAACACCCAGAAGCGTCCTCCATTCTCACTCCCACGAGATATCCGGCGACTGGTCCGATTTACAGGCGGACTTCCACTTCCAGCTCGTCGAAGCGTTTAAGTTCATTGACAGAGATGGGGACGGGAAAATCACGAGGCGCGAGCTCGAGAACATCCTTAGCCGGCTGGGCGCCGACACGCCGAGCGAGGAGATGCAGATGATGTTGATGGAGCTCATGGAAGTCGATCGGGATGGCGATGGCTGCATAAACTTGAAGGAAACCGGCGCCACCAGCCCGGCTTTCGGGCCGTATGATGGGTCGGAGCTCCGCGACGCATTTGATTTCTTTGACGCCGGCCGCGACGGTAAGATCTCGGCGGATGAGCTGCACAGAGTATTCACGGCGCTAGGGGACGACCGGTGCACGATAGAGGATTGCCGGCTCATGATCGGCGGTGTTGATACCGACGGTGACGGATTCGTTTGTTTCGAGGATTTCTTGAGAATGATGGAAGGACGGATGAACTGAAGTCGGATTTTTCGTCCCTTTTTTTTTTAATTTTTGACAGGCTTGAGTTTGGTTTAGATAAATGATGATCAATCAACCAAATCTCCAGGTCTCGACCGATTGATCCGACGGTTGGGACTGGTCGATCAATTGTGTATCCTATCTTTGCCCATATGTGATATATAGAGAAGCAATCACTTATTAATCATCATCATCATTTAATCAATGAATCAATCAAAAGTATTTCTCATTCAATTAGCAGAATTGGTAGCTGAATTAGCTTAATTGGGATTGTAATTTGTTAATGCCTCTGGCAGGCACATGATCTGCGACGATAATGGTATTAGATTACCAGCGCAGGAAGATTCCCTAAACGGTGTGGCACGCTAAAATTACTATTCTGTAGGTTAAGATGATACGTCCACCAGAATGTACATGGGAATGAATGTCTTAAAAGAAAGAAGTCGGGATATTTTTATATTAACAACCTGATTATGTGAATGGACCCCACATTGGCCAGAACACCATTGGATTGGAACTTTTTTTTTTCTGGGATTCATCCAAAATTTGATTTTTTGTGTTTTGAATTTGAGATGAGTGATCAGATGTCAGAAGTTAAGAATGAAGAGGTGGGATTGAATCAGAGGCCTGGGCCCTACTCTCAAACCTCTATCAAGGGTGGAAAAGGCCATTTTTGCTTGATTCAGCCCTAGGGATCACCATTTTTGGCCTGGTTCCTAGCAGTAAAGCCATTGGAAAATAAGGTTCTGAGATTGATTCCCTCTGTAGACAATGTATGGCTCAGATGTTTTTTTTTTTTTAATGATAAATAATAAATGGTTTAGATGATAGAAATAGCTAAAAATTGATAGTTGTCAAGGATTAGGACTGGTTTGGCATCAGTGATGAAAATGAAAATTTGGAATGTTGATGTGCGGTGAAAGAGTGGAGATATGGCTGAAATAATTTCTGAGAAAATTTCCCTCCACTATGCATGAGACAAATGATTTGGTTTCTAGAAAAGGCAAAACAATCTGAGCTAAACTGTTCTTCACTTAACAAAGGGCTCTATCTGAACACATTGGAGGGGAAGAAATGAAGATGTTCTTGATTTTATACTACTTTCATCTTAGGCCTTTACACTTAAAACAAGGGTGTTTGGTTAGAAACCTCTTTAAATCAGTTCCAATCAGGGCTGTAATCAGGTTGGATTTGGATCAGATCTGGTCTCCCATCAACGCAATTGAATCCAAGTATGAAATGTTGGTAACATTTCAATTGACGTGCTTCATATTAGAATTCATGTATCATAAATTTTGTCAAAAGAAAGAAAAAAAAAAAAAACAATGAATTCAATGAATCAATAGAATCTCATTTGCAATATGCCCTGTTTTCCTTTCATTGCAAGTTAAATAAAGGGCTGTAAACTTGCCTCACCAAGTCACGAGATGAAGAGAAGAAACAACCAAACCCCTTCAAAACAAGAGCGTTTGGCTCTTCACAAGATCCCATTTTGTCCTACACAAAGATTGAGCCTTCTTAAAATGATCTCATTTGTTTTGTATGGTTGGTCAACAGATTGTAAGCTCTCAAATCCTAAAGAACAACTATAGTTAGTCAGAGGCTGTCAGCTTGTGAGCTTCAAATGCAATGGAAAACTACGATGTGATTATTTCCTTGAAGGTGGTTTCCCAAACAACCCATTAAAGGACTAGATTGAACCCTTTATTTCCTCGATCCTGTCTCTCATTTTCTTCCTCAATGCAATCAAAGTTCAGTTGCTACATATACAATCTTGGGCCAATCTCAAAAAGCAGCCAAAGCACTATTGAATCCAAGAAAAAAGACTAGAAAAAGACTGCAAAACACGTTTCCCAATGAAACTAAAGCATCCCACATTTTCTCCCCGCTCTTTCCTACTTTTTTTCCACTTCTTCTTCTTGGCATTTTCTTATTTCCCACTTTGATGAAATTTCTTAATTCATTTTCATTTTCCAGTTTTCAATTCTCAATTCTCGTCTTCCTCTTTGGCAGCTCCGTTTGGATGGAAGCGTTTGTGTTTTAAATCTTAAACTATTGAGTGAGTTGGGTAGAACTGAAAAGTCATGAAGAAAATGGCGGTTTGGCGTGGAGTGGGACGTGGGCTTTTGTTGTTTGGTGGTACGATGGGAACATGTGACCCACAAACCCACTACTATAGTGGTTGAAAACGGTGTTTGGGAGAGGAAAAAAAAATCAATTGACTAATGAGAAATTGAATGGGAAATTAGGAGGAAAAGTTAGAAAACGAAAAACTCGTTTTCAGGAGAATGCTTTTTTTTAGTTTTTCTTAACGGTTTTTTGTTGTCCACCCCTCGTGCTCCTGACTCAGACCATTTCTGGTTTCCTTGAAACTTCTCTCTTTCGTGTTCAAGGAAGAAAAAGATAAATAAATCCAATGGATTTATGCCCCTAAGAAAGGGACAAGTTATATAACAAATTTAACACTAGCGGAGGCCCTTGTTAAATTGTAATATTGTTATTTTTTATATTAAAAAATATAATACTTTTTTAATAAGAAATTTGTAATTATAAGTATTTAAGTCTTGAAACTCATATAAAGACTAAAAATCATCATGTGCTCTTTTGTTAAATATTGTTTCAACAAAGCATTCCATATAAAAGAACATGATCATACAGTGATGGTTCTAAGTTTTACTTCATAGTTGTCCTTTGTTTCGCATCGAGAACTCCTAGTTGACCCGGACAGTAGGACCGTTCAACTCGGAAACCGTCCAGGCAATCAGTTCCATTTTACCCCAAACCCAATCCCTAACAAAAAATCGTTGAATTAGTCAACGACCCATTGAACTGGGTGGTCGACCCATCAACTCGTTTAATGGTTTTGGCCATTTTTTTATTTTTAATTATTTTTTAATTTTTATTGTCAAAACAGGCCATCCTTTCGAATCAAACAGTTGAACCGTTGACTTGGAAACCGGTAGCCAAAATTGTTCCATTTTTTGGTCTTTTTTTCTAGATGTCAATAATTAGACAAAACAACTTTATAATCATAGTCATGGGAAGGGTGGACATTGCAAGAGATTCCAAAACCTTGAAAGATAAATCCAAAGTGACCTTAAACATGGAAAAAAAATGGTGGTAAATCCACCAAACTAGAAAAATCAAGGAAAAAAAAATAAGAAAATCGAGTCTAAAGTTCCACTTTGAGATGGAGATAAATATACATGCAATCAAAAAAAGAGACAGCAAATCGTTTAAGAAAATTAAAAAAAACCATTACACAAGAAAACCCAAAGAAAAAACAAAATGGTGGTAAGCCCTAGACTGTTTTGGAGGATCTTGAAAAAGAAGACCAAATACAAAAAAAAAAAGCAGAAAATGAAAAAAAAGGAACATACCGCACACTCGAATAAAGCACAAAGTAGAAAAAACATTTAAACAGTGAAAATCCAAAAGCATAAAAATCATGGTTTTCGAACTGCTGTTGACCTAGACGGACAAACATTTCGGTCCGGGAACCGTCTAGGCAACCAGTTCTGTTTTACCCCAATCCCGGTTCCTGGCAAAAAACCGTTGACTTAGTCAATGACCCATTGACCCAAGCAGTCAAACTATTGACCCATTGACTGGTTTAATGGTTTTCGGCCATTTTTTTATTTTTTAATTGGGAATTGTCCAAACAATCAGTTTTGTTTTCTCCCAATCCTAGTCCTTCGTCAAAAACTATTGAATTAGTAAATGATCCATTGGCCCAAACAGTCAAACCGTTGACTCGTTCAAGGGTTTTTGGTCATTTTTATTTTTTAAATTTTTGTTGTCAGAACAGTTCCATTTTTGGATCATATGAGTCACATGCTCGAATGACACAACACGTATGATATTGCTTAATGAACTTCACACACTCAATTTTTTGCCTATAATTTTTGTTGTTAGAATGGGTCATTCATTCGAACCGGATGATTGAACCGCCATTTTTTTTATTTTTTTTTAATTAGGAACTATCCAAGAAACCGTTTTTATTTTACCTCAATCCTGATCCTTAGCTAAAAACCGTTGAATCAGTCAACAACTCATTGACATTTTTCAAATTTCCCACCAAAACAAAAAGGCCAAAATTTTTGAATTTTTTACTGCATATGGCTAAGGAAAGCTTTATTTATTATCTTTACTTCTTTACTTATAATATTGAATATAGCATTGGAAGATGGGAGAGATGAGTTATATATGAAAGGGAAAAATAGATGGATTAGGTTTTTCACTTCTTTATAAAAAAAAAAAAGAAAGCTTTTACACATGGTGGTTTAAACGTATAGAATAAACAATGTAAAATATAAGACGACCATTTGGCGAAAGGGGAGACCGCCCCTTTTGTATTAATAGATATATACTAGCGGGGGAGCCCCTGCTTTGTAGGGGCAAAATGGAATAAAAACAGACCGAACTATTTGGTTTCTTTAATAAAGTAACAGAATACCTTGTGCTCAGATGGAGTTAATTCAATTTGAAGTTCTTGATTTGTTCCATAAAATTAAGTTTAAAGTGTAAAAGGAGCAACATAGAAAAAATGTTAAAATGGATTTTGAACCATTTTAAGCAAAACTTTCCATATCAGAAAATGGTGAAGCTCAAGTATTCGGTTTGAAGAGTCCAAGTTTGAAATGTTAGATGTGATTACCCTTGAAAACCCATCATATAGATAGCTAACACTGTTTGGATGTCTATAATTGTACATCTAATTAACATTGTAAGAAAATACATCCATATATAAAGTACAAATTTACACCAAATACAAATTCTAATCTCTCCTATATACATTCCCTATGTGAATAGCACATATTCATCCTCCACAAGAGCAAGATGTTTTCAGACCCTGGTGTCTATAACTATCTAGGCTATTCCTTCTAAACAATCAAGTCATTGTTAGTAACTATCCAAATTACAACAATAAGCATCTATATATTTGAATAATTCAAAATTTTGATAGGTTTGAGGAAAGAAAATGCATTCATTATAGAAATCCATGACGTATAAGGCTGGTATTTGTAATAATGAACCCTATCCAATTTATATGTACATAAACCTCACATATGTCATCTATAATTGTACATTTGTACTTGTTAAACAACCAAGTTAACCATTTCACTGGGTAGAAATTAATAGGTTGGTATCCCTACCAATTTTCTTAGCAAAAACCTATGCAAAGAAGATTAGGGCTGATAATAAAGTGTAAGATTTTCCTACGCAATCACTTTATGCTAAAATGAAAGCTATAGAAAGAAAAGTACAAATAAAGTTTCATAACCCAAGGAGATCAACTAATCAAGAGATACAAGAAATAATGGAATATAGTAAAAAATTTATGGGGAAACACCACATAACATAATAAATGCCATTGGTCCTTACAAAAAATATAAATAAATGAATAATGAATGCCTTGAGGAGTCTAATGTTGCTAGAGGATCTTATATGAGTATGTACCTTTATTAACTAACAGTTGAAGCTTGCCTTTTTCTTCCATCAAAATTGTTCACCCTTGAATCCCAAAGGTGGGTATCAAGAGTCAAGACTATTATTCTAATTTGGGAAAAAAACTTAGTAGAGTTCATTGTTTTCTTTTGCAATTTAGATTATAGAAAATTGAGTAGAATCTCATTCTCATATTTGAATTGAACACTTAATCATTATAAAATATTATGAAAATTATGTTAAGAAAACACAACTCTTATCACTATTGCTTTACCCAAGACGTGCTCAAATACTCAATGAGTTTTTTTTTTGATAATTTGTGCTCAAATGCTCAATGAGTATGCTAATTTACAATTGTGCTACATCCTAACTGGTTTAATAGAAAAACCTCTAAACTCTCCCTTACAATGCCCTCTTCTCTCCTTGGCAACAATGGTTTAACTTGAGATGATTAGCTCACTGTGTCTTACTTGTCAGTTATAAGTCTTGAAATACATTTATGAGATTCAAAATTTAAATCAATAAAAGAAATTGAATATAAAACGGTATCTTTAGACTCCCAAACATGTCATGGAGACCACAAATACAATAGTACAAATTACAAAACCAGCATTCATGTATCAAAGTTCAATTCTTGAGCCCTATCTTATTTGAGATGTAAATATACAAAGGCACATGTATCATATAAACAAATAAAACAATGTTTTTTTCAGGAATTATTTCAATAAAAAACAGATATATGCTAAATAGGATAGAATACACCTGGCTTTCTACTTTTAATCACCAATCTAAAAGTTTGTCTGTTCCATACTTTTATTTACTTGTATCATGTTTTCCTTGAAAGTTTGAATTGAAAACAAAATAGGGGTAGGAAATCCTCCTAACCCTAAACTCACAAATAGTGAAAATCTCTCACTGTTAGTCAAGGCAAGTCCCTTGTCGTGGTATAAGTCCCCTCAATGGAGAGTATTCACTGCACCAAAAAAAGGAAAAGAGAAAAAGTAAATGTTCAAACTCCTTGGAATTTGCAAATAAAAGCAAAGMCAACATTAGTGTCATCATAAAATTACTCTTGAATGGTATGCATTCTACAACATGAAGTTCCATCAAAAGGTAATTGAAACCCTTAGCTGAGCCTTCACTTGCTTTTGAGCAACTGTTGTTGTCAACTGGAATAAGTCTACGACTCTTCACATCATAGCCGATATTGCAAAGCATTATATTTGTATGTAAAGCATTACAAAGGCTATTTCAAGAGTAGTGAAAACTTCCTGAAACTCAACCTTGATTGAGAGAGAACCGAACTGAAGAAAACCCAAACCCTAACTGAAGCAAAGAGGAAAACCACCCCTGACTGGAGCTCGACCTAATCTGCAACCAACAGGAAAAATGAGCCTCTAAAATACACCATGCAAGCAAGAGAAATCAAACCCTCAAGAAACCCTTGAACAAAAAGAAAATAAAACCCTAAAAGGACAATGCACTTACAAACCCTAAAACAGATTCAACAGTCCTTATAGGCATGCAATAGTGAACAGTTGTAGAGAGAGATGAAGACAGGACCATGAGGATATTCTTGCAATTGAAAGCCACTAATCTTCCATAGCGCAAGTTAGGAAGACATGGGTTTAAGGAGAGAAAGAGACAAAGGGAAGATAGAGACATGCCTAAGAACAGTGTAATGCAGCAAAGTGATCAATAGCTTGAGGAGTAAACCAGAGAGAACATTCCTAGGATTTACTCCAATTCAGCTTATCGAGTGAACAATGTTGGATGGACAGGCTATTGAGGAGTGTTGACCAAGAGAGACATCAATGCTTGTTTGGAAGAAACGATGAGAGAGAGAGTGAGAAAGGGCTTGAACCGGCTTTTCCGATGGCGTTTCCAGTAGTGTAGAAAGAAATAGAATCAACAAAGTTGGATAGTCTATTCTCATAGAGAATTGACTCAATTTGGGAGCCTTTGGTCTGGGATCAATAGATAAGTAGATGGAATTGGACTTTCGAGTCCCAATAACCCGCTCTATTTCCCATGTTTCAGAAATCCGGATCCGAGATCCATCATTGAATGGGTAAGGGGTCTCAAGTCTCAACTAAAACTTTCACTATGATACTAATCAGCATTATCAAATGAACTTTATGATTTTAACCATCTATTTTGATATCAACTGTAGACAGGATTTTGATTTCCAACAGAAAGCTTTTCTCCTTGTTTTTTTAAATACAATAACATTGAATGAGACTGATGGTTTCTAGGCAGAACACATCAGCTGGTTATTGGTCCCTTGTTCAGAAGTTAAAGAGATTGGGATCATGGGATGTCAGTGAACTGAAAGGGAAATTTTTTTTTAAAATAAAAAAAGGTAAGCCCAATTTATAGAAACTCTTTGTAATGGAACATAAAGAAGACCTCTTCTTATCCTTGTTTCAAGACTACATAAAGGAAAGAATTGCCATGTAGCAATATAAAAATTATCAGTTGGAAAAATGCTATAATATGGATTGGGGGTTTTATCTTGTCAATTTTCCTTATGTAAAACCCCAAGGCATTGGAGGTTTGAGTTTTGCTTAGTTGAGTTGTTTTTTCACTGTTTTATCTGTTTTTTCTTTGCTGCTGTCTATATTGGTTGGAATTGTATCCTGAGCATTATGAAATATGAATGAATACTCTCCTTTTGGCTTTGAAAAAAAAAATCAAGGGAAACAGCAAATTTGGCTAAAAATGCAGTGAAATTTTTGAACAGTTGATAGGAAAAAGTATTCAAGAAAATGAAATTGCTAGACTTGACAGTTCAGTTTCAAGGACTCCAATTAATAGTAGTTCGACCACATGAAGGATATGAAATTGAAAGGAAACTACCTCAGGATGCAATTTCCATTGGTCTAAATAGATCCCCTTCCTTCACCCTCCAACCCATCTCCAAGTTTGCCTTCATCCTCCTCACCCTCACCTCCAAGTTAAAACAAACAAAGAAACAAATACTTTAGAAAGCAATATGTACCAATCCACCATTAACTGAGTTGTTGGGCCGTCTGAATTCGCTCCTTCCATGGTCAATCATCAACCTAAGAAAGCAAGCCTTAAATATAAGAGATGCGATTCAGTACTCACGAATGCTCACACCGTACTTGCAGCTGTGCATTTGAAATATCTCCCCATAAATAAAAATATACAAGTACGGAGATTTTCTCAATACACAGTTGCAATTGGACGGTGTAAGCACTGTTTTGTGAGAACTAAATCCAAGTTCTAACTTGTTATGTGTCCTTAGTGGCATTTTTGGACGGACAATTACATCTTTTATTGAAGGAAAAGTAAATTCTTTCCAATGCAAATAGGTGTCCAAAATTTGGGATAAGGGAAAGTGAATATCTAAAGTCCTCTAAACTGTGTTTGTTTGAAAGAAGAGGTAAGGAAAAGAAGAAAAAGATAGAAAATTTAATAGAAAATAAGAGAGACACAAAGTTTGGGGTGGGGGGATTCTTAAGGATTCTTGAATTCTTTTGAGCAGGCCTGGCTCTATTGGTACAATTGGGTTTGGATTTTCTGGCATAAGCAAATTAAAGAATGAAATAGGCTGTTAACAACCCTAAATTCTATATATTAATGTGAACACCTTGCTTAATCTTTACCCTTTTCTACCACACAGAGGTCATAGCCTCATGGCTGTTATAGATAGGTTATAGCCATAGTGTCGTAATTCATTTTTAATTGGTGTGATAAATATGGATTAAAAATGATTTGGATGAGTAAGGTGATAATTTATAATTAGATAATTTCTATCAGCCAGGGGTGAGTGGGGTTGGTGTGATGGAATTGATTATCATTGACCCCTAGTTTGGCCAAGGATAAGAGCATCAAACCTAGGGTTTCCAATTGGTGCCAAATCCACTTGAGTTTTGACACATTTTTCATGTATGATGGAGACCCATTTCAAATTGGGTTCAAATATGCTATCATTGAGCCTAGGATTCACACTTAGGGCCGTTTGAAAACAGATGAAGCTGCTGATCTGATAGACAGAGACTCATCGCTTCATATAATCAAGGATATAGTGATCTACCACCTTCAGTCATTAAGCTACAACTTTATTAAAATCTTGTTCACTAAAAGACAAAATAATAAGTGCTTCAGTTCAGTCACTTCAGCTTTATCAAATAACCTTCTATCATACTTTTGACTTGTTCCTCACTAGGAAGTCTTCTAGTTCTAAATGAGTTTCAATTCAAACAAGAGCCGTCCAATATGGGGTCTGCAACTCTGCCGGGTTCATAGGCTGGAGTCTAGGACACAGGACACACATGGGTCTGGCCTGGGGCCACTTAATTTGCAACTTGTCCCATGTTCAAACATTTGGCACCTGGTTGATTGGTTGTACCACGTAGGAGCACTACATGTTCATAAATCATAACTCACCATTGAGAAAACAATTAGGGTTCTTTGGCTTATTCAATGAGATCCCACTCTAAAGGGGTGTCAATGTGATTGGTTTTGTTTACATATGGAGAATCACATATTACAAGGGAATCAGGGGTGAGGTAGGGCAGGGCGTACGTGAGGCCAACTTCACACTTTTTTAGAGGGGTGTGAAGTGGCCTTCTCGACTACTGGGTAATCCGTAATTGGCCTCTTTACCATAATATCATAAAAATTGGTTCAACCACCTCGGTGGGAATTCACATCTGCTCCCCACAGCATATCCCAACTGTGTATTAAGAACATTTCCTACTGTCAACTTTGAGAGTTGTTTCCAATGCACGCCAAGATGTGCATGTGGGTCTTTTGTAGGGCTCTCTCTGTGGGGTGCAGATGTGAAGGTGGCCCATGACTTGGCTATTTACTTTACAGGAAAAAACAAGCTATTTTGAAAGGAGACCAGAAGTTGGAGAATCAAGAACATCATTGATGTTAATGATGAACTTGAGTAGTGTAGGTAGTCTCCCTTAGTCTCCTCGTTGCATTTGTTTATGTGATATCTATATCTATACTATTATAAAAAGTATGAATGGGGGTGTGGAATTTTTCTTGTTTAAAATGGCTGTAGTGTACTTAGTCCATCTCTAATTACAAGGGTTGAAAATGTAATTTAAATTAATGATTTTCATCTAGTTTAATCCTCTGCCATTTTAGTTATTTTTTCACTAATAAATGCTACTAATTAGATTTATGCTCAATAATTTTAATAATAAAAACCCATATATTTTAAAACTTACTCAAAAATAAAATCATTCTTTATCCAAGTGATAACTAAACAATTCAACCATTAGTATCAAATTGGTCAAGCCATAAATTGATAGTTAAATAATAAAATTTTTAAATAGAAATAAATATAGAAAGTTACAAAGATGTATAAAATGAAACACATCAAATTGGTCAAGCCATAAAGTGATAGTTAAATAATAAAATTTTTAAATAAAAATAAATATAGAAAGTTACAAAGATGTATAAAATGAAATACATCATGGTCAAGCCATTTATGATATTTTTATTAGTTAAATTGAAAAAAGTGTAATAAATAAGAATTATTTTTAATGATGATGAAAATGAAATACATAATCTAAAACTAACCAAAATGAAATTATTTTCTGGTTTGGCAGATATCAATAGTTCAACTTATGGGCCAAATGTGTTAACCTTTAATGTTGTAATTAAAAAATAAAAATTAATAAAATATAAAATCATAAAATTAAAAAAAATACATACATTGTACAAAAAAAATATTGGGTACATGTATAATATCGTATATTTATCATATTAAGCAAAAAATAAGTGTACATAATCGAATTATTTTCACACATATAGAAACAAAAAAAATTGAACACATATATAATTTTATATTTACACTACTATTACAAATACAAATAACATTGTGGAACTTTCTTTTGACTAATATACCCATTTTTTGAATTTAATCCCTATTTAGTTATGAGATTTAAAATATAATTTAAACTATTACTTTTCACCTCATTGAATTCCCTTTCTTTAAATATTATATTTTTTGATAAATGAAAAAAGATACACTAAGAAGATAAAATATTACAAAAAGAAGAGTCCAACCAAGTAAGCAAGATTGTCAATGATACCAACAACTTTGTAGCCCAATGTGAGATATTTACATGATCAGATTTAAACTTTACAATTTGCATTCGATTAATAATAAAAAATATAGCAAAATATGAATTTTATAGAAAATTTCAAATACATTATTATTATTATTATTATTATTATTATCATCATCATCATCTAGCACATGCATATTTACAATAATTTTGAAAAGATGCTTTAAAAGTATTGTGATCATAGGGAGGGAGGTGAGTAAAATGACAACTAATGACTTAGCAATATCAAAGTTGAATTTAATGATGATATGATCACTCAGCAGAATATTAAATGGTTTGCAGTCCAATGTGCCAACAATGGCAAATGTGATGTAGACAAAGGAGGTGAATTTATACAATGAGGGGGTGAGGGGTGTAGTTTTGCGTCAACAAACTCCAGACCACATCTGCTGCAAGTATGGTCCCAGCACTTTCTTTTGTGCCTCAAATCCAAATTCCCCTGATATCATCAGATAACTCTAATATGATAGTAGTCAGACATGGAAAACATCTCATGCTCGAGAGATAGATATATTCCCAATGGAAAGAGGCAGTATCTTATCTTCGAACTCTTATGGACAGGAGATTCGGAGTGTGATAAATACATGTCCAAGAATTGAATATGCTGACACTTGTCCTATTAATGTTCTTATAAGTCATCGTGTTGGGTCAGGCAGTATTTATGTGACAGGTGTCAGCATGTTTATTGAGTGCTTACCCTGTGAGTGTACCTATCATTTTCGGCCGACTTTTTTTAGGTGATTAGTGATCCACCTGACTTAGAGAATATTTTTTCAACCATCATCAAAAGAAAAGGAAATAATTGCTATT